AAAAAAAAAAAAAAAAAAAAAAAAAAAAAAAAAAAAGTAACCAACCCTGCCCACAGGGTTGCCTTTGGGAAGGCTAATCTTAATACTACTGGGGGGTCCTGTACTGTCTCACAACTTTATTCAGTTCAGCTGGTAACATAGAAGGCTGACTTGTGAACTTTGAAGTACACAAAGCTGGAGAAAGAGCTGCTGGTTAACAGAATAAATATTAGAAAATGGCCTAGAGAGTGTGGGTCAATGTCAATAGATGAACTGTAAAGGGAATAAGTGCAAAGCTTGGCCTTTAGGCTCAAGGACATAAACGGCACTAGAATAGGATAATAGGAAGTTGCTTTGGCAGTGTTCAGTGTGAAAGGAGTGTAGGGGATTTAGTTGTGTTTCAGCTCCAGATGAGTCAACAGACTGACAGAAACTTCCAAAAACTCATACTTCTTTGAGCTACATTAGCACAGCCACAGTGCCCTAAGCCAGGAAACTAATAGACCCCATTCATATTAATTCTCCACAATCTACAGAAAGATACTAAATTGGCATAAGGTTGGCTTGCTATTCACCTTTCTAATTGTCTTATTTATTTATTTATTTATTTATTTATTTATTTGGTACCGGGTTTCACTACACAACTTGTAGTGATCCTCCTGTTTCAGTTTCCCCAGAGCTGAGATTGCAGATGTGTGCCACCATGTTCAGTTTCAGGACCAGCACGGCACTCCTGGGGTTCCAGGATGGCAAGGCATGCAGTGCTGGGTATCAAACCAGGAGCCTTTACATTTATCAGGTAGGTGCTTAGACTGCTGAGCTATTTCCCAGGCCCCACCTTTCTATATTTTAAAATCTTCTTTAACAAATGTTAGCTCATTTAAAACTGCAGTTACCTACTGATGGAAGGAAATGACAAGTGGGGCATAGAGAGGTTAAGTAACTTGTCTAGAATTACACAGTAAATGATGGAGCATGCCTCATCATATGCAAAATCTAGTAATAAAAATCCTTGGGCATCACATTAGTCTACTGAATCAAAAGGTCTAAGATAGGCCCTACAAGTGCCTTCTTAGGCAAGTGTAGGGACCAGGGTTCGATCGCTGGCACCACATGCCCCACTGGCCCCACACCCATCCCCATGCTGAGCTGGCCAGAGTCTGGGCATGGTGGTGCATGCCTGTAATCCCAGAGCTGGGGAGGCTGAGGCAGGAGAATCACTACAAGTTTGAGCTGCATAGTGAGACCCTGTGCCAAATACACTTAAAAAAGATAGGGACTAGAAACTTGTGTGTTTTAAAACGTTAAATATCACTTTTTTGATGTTCCACAGGATTAAAACCAGCGCTCAATGGTCTCAATAAGATTTTATGCATGTATGCTCATGTTTGACAACCACTGAGCTATTCTATTTTGTTTCTGTGTTAAGCAATGAAACTTCCAGAAACAAAGTTAGTGGCTCAATCCATGCACTATAGTTTATCTGTATCTGCGTTAGAGTTAGAAAAAGATCTGGAAGAGAATGTGTGTGTGTGTGTGTGTGTGTGTGTGTGTGTGTGTCCGTGTGTGTGTATGAATGTACAGATATGAATATGCTATGTCTGATTCTAAAAATTCTATAATGGCTACAGGAATTCTTGCCCCTTTCTGTGCTCTAAGGCAACCATCTACTCTTCCTCTCTTTGTTTGCCATCAATACTGGCTTTTTCTTGGTAATAAAGTGAGGGGCATCACTGTGGGGGTAATGTTTAAGTGAATGAAATGTCACTCCTGGGTCCATGGACTCTTTTCTTGTCAGAAGTGGATAAATTAGTACATTGGAAAATTTAAGTTGAAACATTTTGTGAAAGATTTGAGCTTTTATTCAGTAAGTGAAATTGATCATATGTAGAGTGAAACTAACCAAACACAAACTGAAATTAATGAGCAGCATCTCTCTTTCCTGACTAAGTGATGTGGTAGCAGGTCTGTAATGCATATATTAGATTTCTCAACTTCCTAGTGGTAGTAAAAATAAGTCAGGGCATTTAGAAGTGATGTTTGATTTTAATGTTGACAGCTCCCTCTCTTTAATACTGAGTAATGGGAGAATCATATGAAAAACTTGATGTCAGAAAAAAGTTTCAGTGCTGGCCCCACCTCTGGGGTATGCTGAGACAAACATTGAGACTGTGACATGCCTGTAATCCCAGCTCTTTGGGAGGCTGAACACAGGCGGATCACTACAAGTCCGATCTGTGTAGTGAGACCCTGTAGACCCTTACTAAAATAAAAAAGGAAGGAATAAAGGAAGAAAGAAAGAAAGAAAGAAAGGAAGGAAGGAAGGAAGGAAGGAAGGAAGGAAGAAAAAGAAAGAAAGAAAGGAAGGAAGGAAGGAAGGAAGGAAGGAAAGAAGGAAGAAAGAAAGAAAGAAAGAAAGGAAAGAAAGAAAGAAAGAAAGAAAGAAAGAAAGAAAGAAAGAAAGAAAGAAAGAAAGAAAGAAAGAAAGAAAGAAAGTCTCATCTTTGGAGAAGGAAGATTTAGGGAGAGAGAGGTGAATGCAAAAATTATCCCCAGAGGAGTCTTGTTTTCATTAGGCTAAAAGACTAGGCATTTAGTTGCCAAAAAAGACCAGGAATTTAGTTTTGTGTACCTTTATCTTCGCAACTAAAGTGCCATTTTCTTTTCTTTTTTTTTTAAATGGCAGAAGGATTTTTTTTTTTTTGCTCCCCATGCCTTCAGGGCAGGTTTGTCTGGCTTGAGTTGTGGGGATCGAACCACAGCAACCTGAGCCTGATTGCTTTGTTGAAGCAGCCACTTAAAGAACTGAGCTAAGGGGCAGGCCTCCCAAAATTATTTTTATTTATTTATTTATTTATTTATTTAATTTTTGGTGGAACTGAGGATTGAACTCAGGCCCTTGCGCTTGCCAGAGAAGTGCTTCTTCCACTGAACCATCTCCCCAGCCCCCTTCATTTTCTTATATACATAGAGCTCATAGAAAGTGAGTTACCCAATGTCAGCTAGGTAGGAAGTGGCTAAAATTCAAGGTTTTGTAGCTTTTTTTAACCCTCTTATACCAATGTACCTATGTATTTCAGCTATACTTTAAAAACAAACACAGAAACTAAATAAACACTCCTCTTCTTTCTCTGTTCTAACATTGCTAGACCTCTTAATACAGTATAGCTTATTCTTGCTTCACTGATTTCATTACTAATTTTTTTCTGTTCAACGTCCCACAAATGGTTAACATTTCTAACACTTTTCATCTTCAAGTATCTCTACCATTCCTTTGGCACTTAGTACATGGAACATTAAATTTTTTAATTGTTCTACTATATTAAGATTGTGGATTCACAATGTTTTGTTCTGGAAATGCCTATATCTTAGATCTCTATGCAGCTGTTAAGTTGTTTGTAAGTAGAGCTTTCAGTAAATCATAATCAGTCAGGAGTTGACAAAGCATCATTGAAGCAGATTGGGGCAATGATCACATTAGTTTCAGATTTAGGAACGACTTTGGTATTAGTTTCCAGTAATATAACCCTGGCCTTCTGATCTCCTGGGCACACAGAAACTCCTTTTATGCATTGTTTATTGCTTAAAAATAATTGAAGTGCTGAAATTGGTTTTGATCAACTGGAATAAACTATGACAGAGGCTACAGAGAACATGCCCACATACACATACACCAGGAACACCAACATTCATCAACCCTAACTGCTAAACTAAAGCATGAGCTGTCTATGTACATAGCCCTCCCACCAAATATCTGACTGACTGGGGAGAACAATTTCATCCCTTTCCCAACCTTTGTACCTTCCCTCTCTCCACCCTTAGTATTCTTCTGAAGTTAAGTTTTTGCTACTCACCATCACCTTTGGGGTCGCTGAGAGCAGTAGGAGGAATGACTGACGAACGGTGGCTTCCAAAGACACATTCCTTGGAAAACCGCTTTCGACAGTCATTATGCACCTGAAACGACAAGAACAGAGCAGAAAGAAAGGGTGGGAGGGGGAGAGAATAATGTTGATCAGTCTTGAGTTCCAATTGTAAGAATTAGATCTTAATATTCAAATACCTCTTTCTGAAATATGCTTCCATATACATACCCCTAACTAACCTGGCTACTCCTATTCCACCCTGATCCTGCCCTATTCCTGACAGTGTAGAACCCTGGTGCTGTAAGGTGGCTTTCAGTAAATACCCTTCTAAAGACACTGAAAAGCCACCAGTTCTAAGACACAATCCGAGTAGTTTGCAGAATGGGAGGGAGTCTTGTAGTATAAGAGTACTAAACCTGATCATCTACCAATGCACTTCAATCCTTCTAACAACTAGGCATGGTGGGAAAGGCATTATTTGGTTTGTTTTAAACATGAATGTGAAGCTCATAAAGTTAAAAGGATCATGTCTAAGGTCAAATAGCCAGGAAGTGGAAAAGCTAGTGGTCCCATAAGTGGCCATACTTTCCAGATTTTTTGAAATCTTTAAGCACCACTTTCTGGGCAATTGAACAGTCTCTAGGGAGTGTGACATTGGCCTTGTTAAACACCAATAAGTGGACAGGAAAAACAGAGTTTTCAATAAAGAAACTCAAACTTCAGTTTCTTCTTGTCTTAGAAAACTCAGTTTAACAGAAGCATCTAAAAGGCTAGAAAGACTAGATCCAGTCCTTGACCAGCATCTCTTAGCCTTGGTTTTATTGATATCTTGGGCCAAATAGTTCTTTGTCAAGGAGCATGGTCCTATGAATTGTAGAAGGCCTAGCAGAATCCCAGGCCTCTACTTACTAGATGCCAGTAGCATAGTCTCCCTACAGATGTAACAAAAAGTTATCTATAGACATTGCCAAATGTCTCCAATGTTGTGGTGGTGGTTATTTCCAGTTGAAGACCAGATTTAGTGGCTTGGTAGGGTTGCAGGTTGGGGCATGAACTTTGCAGAATTGTGTGTGAATCAAGACACTCCCTTTTGTTGGCTGTATGACCTTGAGCAGATTTCTTCACCTTTCTTAGCCTCACATTCCTTATATGTAAAATGGGGACAATAAGACCTTGTTTAAGTTTATTGTCAGGGTATATATCTATGTCATTGAATTCAAATCATAGTGAAAAATGTATTTATTAATTTTTAAACTGTTATTTATAAAGGTTAAATTTCCTAGAAAACTATGAATGAGGAAGTGAGAGGCTCTTAAGGATGGATTCAGAATTTATTTTAAATTTGCCTATACTTTCATTAGAGAGTTTAGCTTTTTCCACTTGCTAGAAGGCCCCATCAATTTAGGACCGTTAAATACAAGCATCTTTAATCTTTTTTCCCATAGGCTCTAAAGCCAGATATGGAAGGACAGGATACTAAGATCTAAACTATGGGATGTGTATACTATATTTTGGAATAAGGATCACTGAGATTTTTCTCTACGTATGTGCATAATCAAGCTCCACCCCTCCTCTAAAAGTCTAACTCTTTAAATGGCAAGGAGATGGGAAGAGTCTTACCGTAGAATTACACCACAGGCAGCGGAAATCTTGAAGTCTCCGATAATTGCCACAGCTCTCATGACATACTGCACATCGAGAGTTTACAGGCATGTTGCCTTCTACCCACTGATGGGGCATTGTTTCCTAAAGGAGAGAAAAGAGACAAAAGGTAGAAGTTAGTGCTATAAGGAAGGAAGGAAAGAACGAAGGAAGGAAGGAAAGAACGACCAACTGGACTAACTGTACTATCCCATGGAAGACATTAGGCAAAAGACCCAAATTCTTCATGATCTTGTTCTCCTCACTCTAAAGTAGTGGTCAATGTCAGGTGTAAACATTTGTTGTTCTGTGGGGGAGGCTTTTTATTGCTTAAAATCGGTTGGATTGAGAGCCTGAAGAAGAGACCTACTTTGCTTATCTGGTGACAAGAAGTCTTCCTATTCTGATGTGATATGTCTTAAGGGGACATGGAAGGGGGTGACTGTAGAAAGACATAACTGGAACTTACTATTTCATCTGCAGGCAGGAGTAGGTCATCAGTGACGGACAAGGTATTCCATTTGCAGTCTTTGCTTGCCCTCAACGCACATAATCTGTGAGATTTCACTTTACACACTGTGAAAAGAGGAAGAAAAAAATGATGCATTTGTATTTGGTTACAATGAAGAGTCTAAGTTTCTTCCCTACACTGCTCTGAAAGTTAAAATTCTGATGCATTCTAACTTGAGATCATACTCCTTAGTGAAATAAATCAGTCATGTGTACATATCGTATTGTCTCCCTGGTATGAGAGTAAATAAGATGCAAAATGCACAATAGATATTGTGAAATGGGAAGAAATTGTTGAAAAGTGAAAGGCAACTAGGATAGGGGAAAGGGAAAAAGAAGGAAGGGAAAAGAGAAAAAAATGCAAGTTAGTTATTAGTGTCTCTTAGTTCATAGAAAAGGAAGGTTTGCACTTATATTGATTAGAGATCTTTTTATGCCTATATCTTGTACTCTCAGTAACTATTTTAAAGATAATTATATACAATAATTAATTATTGTTATTCTTCCATTATCTTTTTTTTTTTTTTTGGTACCAGTGATTGAACTCGGGACCCTGTACATGCCAGGCAAGCGCTTATTCTACTGAGCTATCTCCCTGGCCGCCTTCCATCATCTTGTTATAAATTTTTTGTGTATTTAGTACAGGGTCTCAGGGTCTCACTACACAGATTGGACTCATAGTGATTCTCCTGTTTTCAGCCTCTCAGGTGCTGGGATTTCAGATGCGCACTACAATTCCCAGTCTCAATTTCTGTCTCAGTGTGCCTCGGGGATGGGGCTGGCACTGCACGTGGTGCTGGGGAATCTTAAAATTTTGTTTTACCTTTTTTAAAATATAAAACCTCAGATATATTCTAAATAGTTTTGATCCATATCCAGAAACATATTTCCATTATGAGACAGTTTCTCTTGATTCTTAGCAGCTAAATTATCTGTTATCCAACTTGAATGGAAATCAATAGTAAGAATATGATTTCTGTCTTCTGAACCCTTGAAACTATGCTACTTTCCTAACTCTCTACTTTTATCCATGTTAGTTCCTTCTTTTCCCCAGGTAGGGCTAACCTCCCACCAGTCAGTGATCTAGAATATCAGGGACAGTAAAACTTTATGAACCTCCTCAGTCCTATCTCCATCCACAGAGCTCCTTTACAAAGGAGACAGAAAGTTACCTTCACAGATAATGGCATCTCTGGATAAGGCAGGAATTGTCTCTCGACAAATATTGCAGTACTGAGTATGGAGACTGGGGCTGGAATACCAATAATGCATTCCAACAAGGAAGGGATTGTTTTCTGCTGCTGGTATCTGAAATAAATCAAAGAGAAGAAACAGTGGAGGGTTAATCATAGAGATGGGTTAAGGAAGGCTAGAAAATCTGGTGCTAAGGCTAAAATAGCCTGCTATCTAGGTGTCAGAGCATGTGAAGGGGACAACTGAAAGTTATAGCCAATACCTACTTTTTATTTTGTTTTATTTTGCTAGTGGTTTTAGAAAGGGAAAAGGAATAGAGTTGCAGATCCTGTAATAGGAGTGGAAGACAGGAGCAATGATCATTTTATCACTTGTGGGAGTTACTGCATTGGTTTAATCCAAGCAAAATTCATTTTGTTAGCCTTTGGCCTTGGTCCTCCTTAAGAAGAAAAGAAAAGGAGATGGTGATTTGGAAATTCAGTGATATGCAAATGCTCTGGCCAGGGAAGAAGGAGAGGAGGCAAGGCTCTGGAGTGACTCTAGGCTAAAAGATACGTCAGGTTTTAACTACCTCCTGAAGATACCAGCTCCCTTTCTTGGTCCAGTTGCTGCCAGATAAGGAGAGCATCACCTTACCGGGGCAGCAATTAAAGTAGCTTTAAGTCTTTATCTCAGGAGCTTCTTGTTCAAGTACTCTTTTCTGAATACCATGCTCTGACTGCCTACAGAAATATCCTGATTAGTCAACTGAGTTCATTCAATATTTCACTGAGCAAATATTTACTTAATAATTACTATATGCTTGACACTTTTAAGGACAAGGGATATAATGATGAACAAGACAAAGTGACATTTTATTTGGTGACATCTTTCATGGTAATGAATTTGACATTACTGTTAATCTGCCTATGAATGCTGCATTAGTATTTCAGAGCCTGACTCTCATAACTGTGGAGAAGGTGCTGGATTTGCTAATAATTGCATGAGTGCTGAAAGGAGAAAGGAGGGGTGGATACTGAAAACTTCCAAGTTTGTTCTGAGTATACTTTCACAGGGCTTTTCTATCTTTTTCTAATTGCTGTGAATATCTGATTTTTTTCCTCTGCCTTCCACTAGAGTTCAGACAAAAGCATATTTTGGCATTGTAATGGGTTGAGTGTGTAAGTACATAAAAAGACTAAAAAGATCTATATATTCTCCCCAATGTCAGCTGATAGTGACCCATTAGAGGGAGAGCTATTCAGAGCTCTTCCACATTAAGTATTCAATCTTGTTGAGTTTACAAGAATTAATCAGTGAAGATGTACTGTAAATCCATTCTTAATTTCTGCATTCTGGTCATGTGCTAACCTACTGCTGGATTGATCTGGAAGGTTTTGCAAGGAAAAGCCATTCTGATGAGTTAAAAGCTCTTCAAGTAATAGTCTGAAATGTCTTTGTGATTGAAATTTTTGTATATCGAGACCATGGAAAGTTCTAGGAAGATCAGAGTGGGGGGGGGTCCCAAGAAAGTGATGTAGTGTTGTGTTTTGCAACTTGAGTTCCCAGTACTTTCCCAATCCACTAGATTATAACTCTGAACATCTTTCTTCCTTCCAATTTTCATCCCTCTTTCAATAATTACTAGGAGCCTACTATGTGTTATATTACATACTAAGCATTGGCACTGAAGAGATGAATAAATCACAGCTGTTGCCTTCAAGAAGTTCTTATTGTACTAGATGAGACATTCTAAAACAGATCACTCCAGCACATCGTGAGTAGTGAACTCTTAAGAATGTACAAGTTCGTAGAGGACCAAGTGGTAGAAATACAGCACTCTGCCTGGGTAGCATTAAATTTCACGTTTCAATTGGCAGAAGAATATAAAGAAACATATTTAATGAACATTACATAGGTTCAGCAGTTGAGATGGAATTTTTCTTCCTTAAGCACATCTTATTATATAAGGAAACTCTGATGCAGCCAACCATGGATGAGTATGTATAGTGAATTGAATTGTGTGCCTCGCAAAATATGTTCGAGCTCTAGAATGTGAGTTTGTTTGGAAATAAGTTCTTTACAGATGTAATCTGGTTAATATGAGGTCATACTGGATTAGAGTAGGCCCTAATCCAATGATTGGTATCATTATAAGAAGGAAAAATGCACATAGGAATTTATAGAAAGAATACATTTTGTGAGACCAGCACACACAGACACAAGGGAGAACAGCATGTGACTATGAGGGTGGTGATTGGCTTGATGGATCTGTTGGCCAAAGAATGTCAAGGTTTGCCTATAATCACCAGAAGGTAGGAAAAGCCAAGACTCCTGTAGGGCCTTTAAAGAGATTATGACCTTTTCAAAACCTTGAATTCCAAATTCTATCCTCCAGAAATTTCTTAATTTTTAATCCACTCAATTTTTGGTTGGTTTTTAGCATGGCCCTAGGAAACTAATACAGGTGTCTAAAAATATGGAAATAGTTTTGGAATTGTGTAATGGGTAATAGCTATAAGAATTTTGGGGCACATGACATAAAAGCCCTCAATTGTCCAGAACAGAATGTCACTAGAAATGTGAATATTAAAGTTGCTTCTGGTTAAGTCTCAGATAAAAATGAGAAACAGAGGAGATTGGCAGAAAGGCTGTCCTTTTTATAAGTAATAAACAAATATCTGACTGTCATGCTACAGACTGATGGGTTGAAAGTATAATGTATAAGTTAAATCTTCAATATTTAACTGAGGAGATTTCCAAGCAAAGTATGTAAGTACAGCTTCATTTCTCTCTGCTGTTTACAATAAAGTACAAGAAAGGGAGATGCATTGAGGAAGGCACTTGTTCGTACAATTAAGTTTCCATAACAGAATACTGGATTGTATTAAAGACTGGATGGCATAAAGAACAGAAATCTCAGGGCTGGGGAGATAGCTCAGTGGTCTAAGAGCCTGCCTGGAAAGCGCAATGACCCATGTTCAAGCCCCAGTATTGCATGCTGTGCCAGGCCCAGCGCTGTGCCAGCGACCAAGTCTGGGCATGGTGGAGCACGCCTGTAATCCCAGCACTGGGGAGGCTGAGACAGGAGGATCACTACAAGTCTGAGCTGCATAGTGAGACTCTGTACCAAATAAATGAAAAAAGTATGTATGTATGTATATATTGTAATTTAGAGAAGGCTCTACAGGGTGTTCAGGGTCTTACTACTAGATAGACTCATAGTGATTCTCCTGTTTACAGCCTCCCAAGTGCTGGGATTACAGGCCAGGGCCACCATGCCAGGTCTCAATTGCTGTCTCAGCGTGCCCCGGGGGCGGGGCCAGCATGGCAGGCCGGGGGTCCCGGCCCTTGTGCCTGTTGCTAATCCGCTGAGCTATTTGCATGTAGAGAAAATGATCTCTTTTCCTCCTCAGAGGCCACCAGTCATATTGGATTAGAACCATACCTTTAAGAGATCCTATTTAACCTTAATTACCTCTAAAAGTCTATCTCTAAATACAGTCACTAAAAAATCACCAGAACTTAAACATTTGGCAAATTATCAGTTTATCCATATTTCAAAACACAAAAAGTGTACTCTGGGATAAAATATCAAAGATTTGGCTGGACAAAATGGACTGAAAGGGTCATGCAACACAACAAGATTAAGGAAATTGTCAGACTTCTGAGATTCTATATCATGAAACAGACTAATAAAGCTATTCATCTGTGAACCTGTATTGCTTCAGGGAAATAGAAGAATAACTTTCAAGGGTAGTTCAAAGGCTAGTGGGACTGCTGAGAGAGGGTAAAAGGCCAGAAGTGTTGCTATTGCCACTACAGAAGTGTGAACCTGAGAAGCTGGGGCTACTTCCTTGGTTACTGATGGAAGATAGCACTCTGATGGGGTAAGAGGGTGGAACCAGGTGACATCAAGCTGCAGATAATTATTCTCAGGCCAGGAAACCTAACGAAATTTGCCTTTATGTGTGGCTTGCTTTAGACCAATAACCCTTTTATTTCTTCTATTTGATTCATTTCAGAACAGGAATGTCTATCCTAAGTTACTTTGAGCATTTTATTTTAGAAGCAGCAAACCCATTTTACAGGAGATGGAGAACAATTTTGTGTGAGAGGACCATACCTAGAGTCTCACTCATACCTGATTTAGGTAATTCACAAGATGAGAGAATAAATCAGAGAATGTCTGATTTTGAAGTCACAAAGTTTGGGAAAATTTGGTAGAGCAGCCCCAGAAAACTAACACAACATGTCATCACAAATTTCTACATTTGTTGATACTGTTTTTTTAAGTATAATTTTCTTTTATTTGAAGAGTGAAAACAAGAGCAAGAAAAACAAAAACAAAGACAGAAACTGGGTATCATGTAACAATACATGTTACAGATTTTCAAAGCAAGAATAGCTGATTAACAATAATTGATATATTATCTATTTTTATTGCCAAAACTGTTGCACAGATTATCAGATTTAGTTATATAAGGTGGGACAATCATATATGATTGAATATTACTACATGCTTTCGAGAAAACTTAAATTTTTGTTCTTGTCTCTTATTTTCTTTTATTACCTTTTAAAAATTTACTTTAAGGAGAGTATAGCAATAATTAATATGATGTACTAAGTGGATGCAACTTCAGGCTATATTCATAAGTAAAATAAACCAGACCCACATGTGTAAATATCATATTGTCTCCCTAATTTAAGAACTCAAAAGAAGAAATAAAAGCTGAAAGGTATAATAGACACAGTCAAATGGAAAGTATCAGCATTTAAGGATTAAACAATGAAAAGAGAGAAATGAGAAAAATCAGGAAACATGGCAGGGGCAAAACCATACATGTATATAGACAAGATGGCTAAGGCAATTGTCCTAAGAATTTCCTTCAGTTTTTTGAAAATAGCAGTTAATGGGTAGAATTCTCACCCTGACTAACTATATATGCTGCTACCTGTGAACTAAACAACTACATTGAGAATAGCAATGTGTAATACTAAAACCATGCTTGAAATACCTGTCATCTTGGTCTTCTAAATGTGTACCATTTCTTTCTTTCTTTCATTTTTCTTTTTTGGCAGAACCAGGGATTGAATTCAGGCCCTTTGGCTTGCCAGGCAAGTGCTTATTCCAC